ACAAGTACAAATGGCTGGCTGGCTCCTCAAAATTGAATAAGTTATTTTGCTGGCCGTGTCTTTTGTTCAACTCAACAGACAAGACAGTCTGGTGCAAGAAGGGATACGATGATTTGGCCAACCTGTGTAATGCCGTCAACAGACACGAGAAAACGAAGACACACTTGTCCAGTTGCCTAATGAATGCCAGTTTTGGGCGTACACGCATCGACATGCAGCTAGACGAACAGGCCCGTCAACACATCTCAGCTCACAACTTGATGGTGCACAAGAATAGAAAGTACTTCGCCGTTTCATTGATGTTGTTTGCTTTCTTGGCAAACAGGAACTTTCTTTCAGAGGTCGGGTGGAGCTGGAGGAGTCTGCCAACAGGGGCAATTACGTCGAATTGATAAAACTGCTAAGTGCATATGACCCCACGCTTGAACAGCATCTTCATACAGCAACCGTGTTTTCTGGACTTTCTAATCGTATCCAGAACGATTTGATTGTTGCTGTCAAGGACGTTATGTTGAAAGCAATAAAAGATGAAGTGATGAGGCCCATTTGTCGCTATTTCCCTGGATGAAACCTCCGACGTTAAGACCTTATCGCAGCTAACAACTATAGTTCGCTATGTCAACCCAGATGGTAAAGCTGTGGAGCGCTTTCTTGGATTTACCGATTTAAGTGAGGATAGAACTGCGGCTAGACTGAATCAAGAAGTCGGTAAAACCCTGAACGAGTACGGATGCGGCGAAAAACTGATTGCCCAAACGTATGACGGTGCGAGTGTGATGTCAGGAGAACTGTCCGGTTTGCAAACACGAGTAAGAGACTATCCACATGCTCTTTTTATCCACTGTTGCGGACACGCATTAAATTTGGTCCTTGTTCAAGCTGTCTCGTCAACTAAAGAGTGTCGTATATTTTTTAAAACCGTCACTGGTCTTTCATCCTTTTTTCACGCCTCGTCCAAGAGAACATACCTGTTGGACACAGTTGTCGGCAGACGCATTCCCACTGGAACAGCTGTTCGATGGCACTATCAGAGCAGGTTAATCCATGCTGTACTGGAGACAAGAGCAAAGCTGCTCGAAGTTTTCGAATACATCATCGAAAATGATGACGAGTTTGACGGTACGACGTTAAACGAAGCGAGGGGCTACCGACAAGTTCTTGCAGATTTCCAGTTTGTGTTCTGCCTTAAAATATTTTCAGAAATATTTGGTCTTACGGATGTTTTGTATAATATCATTCAGAGTAAGCAGTTCGATATTGTCTTCTGCGTCACGAAAGCTCGCGAGACGAAAGATAAGATTCAAGAACAACGAACAAAATTCGTAGATTATTGGAATTTTACGTCAAGTATCGTCAAAGTAGCACTGAAACGCGGGCAAAGTGAAGAGGATGTAAAGGCGTCCTTCCGTCAAATGTTTTTCTGTGTAGTCGATACCATTGTCGTGCAGATTGACTCTAGATTCGAAAGTCTTAACAGCAGAGCATTCGTTTCTTTGTTGGATCATTCAAAGCACGAATTGTAAAGCCGGAATTTTCCCGAACGAAAGCTGCAATCGTTGCAAGATTCATATGGAACATTCTTTAATCTTCAAGCACTAAAAAGTGAACTAATCGTTGTATACGCATCTGCCTAGCTCAAATCGAAACCTGTTTTTGATATGATATCAAAAATAATTGAACTTGACTTGAAAGCCTGTTTTCCAGAGGTGTACCGATTGTGTCAGCTCATTGTTACTATGCCAAGTACGTCCTCCTCTGCAGAAAGATCATTTTCGGCTCTCAAGCGTATCAAAACGTATCTTCGCAGTACACAAGGGCAAGAGCGACTTTCTGCATTGGCTACAATTTCAATCGAGAAGGAGATGTTGGTAAGTTTGCAGGGGAAGCCACGATTCTATGAGGACGTTATAAAGGAGTTTTGCGCAAAGGAAATACGGATGGAATTTACATTTAAGTAAATCTGTTGTAGGATTTTGGACTATTTCGTTCTGTTACTTCTTCACTACAATAGAAATGCACGCGTAGCCATTTACTTAAAACGACTTTATATCACAATACCACATGTAATACTTTTAAACCGTAATTGTGATATATACTCTATAAAAGTTTTTGAACTTTTTAGATTTTTTCAATACTGTTTCAGTCATGACAGATACATTTTTTTCGACAAAGTACTCCCAGAAATCGCGTGAAACGCCAGTAGCCTTCAAAATCAAAATTTTCTGGGGCATGCCCCAGAACCCTAGATAGCTTCGCGGCATGCCGCGAACCTCACCAGCGCTTGCCTATTAAATTCGGTCACCGCACGCCACTGTTCTAGTGATGAAAGTTATGGTACTTGGGGATCTTTTAATGGCTGAGGATACGACTACTTGTGATGCCATCAACACCTGTCATGCAATAATATAATCAATAAAGCACTGGATATGTAAACATCTAGTTGTAGTAATGGTTCTTATTAAAAATCGCGAGTAGTTACAAAAAACGTCATCAATCATTTTGTTCTAATATATTACTTTCCAAGTATTATACATTCATTAATAAATGATTTTGTTGCGCATGTAAGCTGTCCATGTAAGCGTGAAACATTTGACTGAATTTAAATTTAAAGCTGTTGCAGGTACGTAGCACTTTTATGGAAATTTTTGAGATCATTTTTAAAGGTTTAGCACGCACTGATTGTGGTCCCGTGTTGTCTGAAAAATTTTCAAGTCTGCTCTTTCCGCAGATAAAACTGCTTAGGGATGAGAGTTGAGAGTTGTGGAACTCTAGTTGTAACTGAGAGTGGAGATAGTTTTTCACCAAGGAAGGCTCTCTGTTGATACCACCGTTATATTGGGCATGATTGTATGCTTTATTTTTTACAAATCAACAAAAGGGGGATTGTTGCGTTTCCCGTAATCTGATTGGCAGCAGAAGTGCACGGGTGGAATTTTACGATATCTGACCAAAGGGTTTATTTGTTTCGTTTGCTTTTCATTTTACCAAGGAAAGTACAGCATTTGCAGATCAATTAAGTAGAAAATGAAAATCATTGAAATGAAGGCAATTCAAATGACGCGTTAAGTCAATAGCGGCTACTTAAATACAACTGAAGCAATAGATGGTTTACGAGTTCATTTTCTTCTTTATGAAATAAAAGGAAACAATTCTCTTGAAAATAGTCCTCTCAAGATTTAAAATGCACAAATGAATTTTGAGGAGTGGTGCAGAGAGGCGCACATTTCCTACAAAATACTTCATACATACTAAACAATTAAGTAAAAATCATATATTCATTGGTGTTTATGGAGCGGACTTCCGACAATCTCCCACCATGATTAAAACAAAACTTTAGCTAGCACCTCAATTCGTTGATGCAGCATGAGTAGTACATACTTAACCATACCATACTTGATATTTCATACAGAATATATTTCAACTTGTTAGGCATACCATTCATGCTGTGATAATTAACTTTTCCTGCAGATCAGTACCATAATTCGCCTTTTTAAAGCTAGTACTCGGCAACGCTTGCTGGTCGTCATGTTCAGTGGGAGCGGCGTTTGTTTGAAGAATCAATGGCTGATAATGCTGGTCAATTACTGCTACGTAGTCCAAGTTCTCTGGTGAATGATTTACCTTTATCGTCTTTATTTTGTGTCGGAAGCTTTGGGAGAGCAACGTCCTGTTTATGAATGATTTCATAACGCTCTTCATCACTAAAATTTGAAGGAATTTTGCCGATGACATCGCCTGGCTCTTCGTATATTTGATCTCCATTGTCATGCTCAACTTTTGCCTCAAGCTCAACTACCTGATGTTGTTCCTTTCTAGAAAAGAGTTTGTTAGAGTTTAACAAAGACATGCAGTCCATGGAAAAAGACATTCTGCAAAATACAAAGAATTATTATGAAATCTATGTATAATTTTCTGAACAAGTATTCAAACCACAAATATAGTGGAAAATATTCAAAATGAACCAAAGGCTACATTAACATATGTTACAAGTCCTTCAACCCTAATACAAAAATAAGTACTTTATACTAAAGCTTTAAACACTTTCGCGCATACGACAAACGGATTCCTTGTAAGAATTACGTTGTAAAATTAATATCGTATTTTGTTTTAATTTACAAAAGCAAACAACAAGAAAAATGATGACAAAACACGACACATCATTAACCTAAATTAACTAATGCTAAAAACTCTTTGATCCCTTCAAAATATAATTATATAATTTATACTGACACTTCTTTTAACACTTTATCCCACAAACATAACCTTTTATAAGAATTTTATGATAACAAATGAGTAGCTTACTTTTTTGATTTACAGAACCCAGCAACGGCAATAACAAGATTAACAAAAACAACAGCAGATATTCCAGCTGCAACACCTCTGATTGTTAACACAACAAGTGAAGGTTGGAAATCTAAATAAAATAATGAAGTTATCATTGTATTGTCTTTATTAACTTTTCACTATTACAAAGGGTTTGTTCCCTTTAAATGTTTCAAAAAAAAATTAAAATTTCCTCGCACTGCTTTCTGACAAAACAAATAACTTTGCTGCACTATAACTTTGTTTCATATGCTTGAAAACATATATAGTTTTAGTTTATAGAAAATGCGTGAACGACAATTTGACAATTTCTCTTAATGTAATAAAATATATAAATATTGTTAGTCGATGACATCATTGTAGTGATGTTATCGATGACATTGCTGCGACAAAAAAATCTTCTTGGACGCGCACAGTGGACTTCATTTATCAAAATAAAGCAGATTAATGAACATCATTTAAATAACCTTTTACACTTAATATTTTTACATTAAACATATTCGAGATTTGATAGTAAGTTTTAGCCTCACAGTTCGGTCATATCACCCTGTAAGTATCAAACCTTTTTCAGCATTTAACGCATGATTGTGAAATTTCAAATCCGGGGTTGAAAATGCTTCATGTAATCAGGGCCTTAAAATAATTTTTAGATACCAATACCAACTATAAAATCTTACTTGTACACGAGAGTCCATTTCCAGTGTATCCATCGTTACATTGACATTCATAAGAACCTTCGTTATCAGTGCAGTTTGCATTGACATCACAAGGAACATTCAAACATTCATTGATATCTTAAACAAAAAACAAACCATTTGTTAGGCAAGTTAAAACTATTGCTACATCAACGGTATGTATGTCTTACTCGTGCAAGAGAGCCCATTTCCAGTGTATCCTTCGTTACATTGACATTCATAAGAACCTTCGTTATCAGTGCAGTTTGCATTGACATGACAAGGGTCGGACAAGCATTTATTAATATCTTCAATAAAAGATCAACATTAAATACAAATTATTAATTTGTTGTTTTATTAAAAGCCACCGCTTCTTATTTGTACAACACAACGCTGATTACATAACGTTGAAACAAGAAAAATTATAAAATCTCTAAAATTCTAAATGTGTTTGTTTTACGTGATGCTTTCAGAGTAGACAGAATCGCAAAAGTTTAGAAAACGTAAAATCATTGATAATTTCAGTACTTACATTTTCACAAATATAATTGTTACGGCTTGTGCATGAAATGTCATTCCACTTGCTTTGCACAGAGAATTGAACACAATCCTCACTGCCACCTGCGTTGTTAGGTTCATTAGTATCCCAATTTATGAAAGTAGGTGCTACATTATGGACTGTATAAAATTTACTGTCGCTTTTATTGCGAAACAAACCAATAAAAGGTAATGTAGGCATTTTTGATAGTGAAAATTCGTAAATGGCGTCATTTTCAGCTTTATTTTTTGGAACAGGAAGATCTCCCCCTTTCTTTTGACAATTTTTTCTTGCTTCATGCCAGGTTTCTTGCGTTGTATTGAAGAAATAGCAAGATGACTGTAGCTTCATCCAGCCTGACGGACAACTACTGACTTTGTTAACTAAGACGAACAAGATACCAACTACATCAACAATATAGTCTTTGTAGCAGAGCTTGACAGCCCCCCCCTTCTTCAAAATCTCTTACTTTGTAAAGTGTACAAGTATAAAAATCCACTTTAACAAATACTTATATTTGATAAGAATGGATATTTTTATGGAGACTATTTCTAGTCTCACTTATGTTCTACTTTCATTTTTTAGTTGGAGGTAGATTGATCAATTATAGTACGTTCAGACTGAGTGCCGGAGAACGATACCCTTGTTCGGACAAAAATCTGCAGGCCGTTCACACTACGTAGTACCCACCAGCTTCCTCTATTTATAATTTCATGTTTTTCATTGTAAACAAGTTTTGAAACCATGTGCTGAATACGTGCTTCTTTGTACATGTTACTCAGGTGTCGCCGTTCACATAGGTGCCCTTGCTCGAGCACCGTACTTGGGTACTACCTCTTTTCGTGGTGCCCAGACCTGGTCACTTATACACGGCCACCAACAAAATGTTCTGCTCACATTGGTGCCCGTGCCTGAGTACCGTCTCAGGGGACTCGGTCTGAACGCACTATAATAAACTTTACAAACGAAATAAAACAAACTTTGTACATTGAATGATTACTGATAACTGTTAAAAAGCAGCTTTGCTATACTGGGAACAACAATCCGATTCTGTAACCTTCTTCCCCCCTCCCCCATTTTCTATCCTCTCCTTGGCCCCTACATGATGATATCTGCATTATTAAGTAAAATATTTGATAATTTCATACCTTGTAAATTGAACACGGACATCATCAGAAGAAATGTCAATTGAAACATTTTCAAGCCACGATGATTTTCAATGATACAGTTTGAAATCTGTCGACAATATCAAACATATTACATAATTACACGCGGAACAGCAACGGACTCACACTTTCCTGGCAGTAGCTGAAATTGTCATGCAGGCCCCACTATCTATACCTATATCAATATCAATACCACCTTTTTGTTTCGGTATACGTAAATGATATAATCACAGAACTCATGTAGAGAGGATTGTTTCTTTCTCGCTCACGGCAAACAGAACAGTCACATATACAATTTACCAAAGACGTCGAGGGAAACTGAGCTCCTTCTTACAAACTACAAAACACACTCCACCAAGAACCAACACATTTGGACCAAGTACTCGAGTAATCATCTTAACAAATCTACATCATACAAAGCTACCATATTGAACATTACGAGACGAGCACAATACCTTTGAACGAAATCATCGAACGATTCTCACCACGAAAATAAATGAAACAAACACAAAGAACAATCATATTGTTGACACCATAAACACAGCATTCGGAAATAATAGCAGTCAACAAACAGAATTGGACCATTAATCAAATGACAATGAAAGCAACGATAACGTACGTCCAAGCTAGGTGAACTATGTCTGAGAGAATATCACGTATATATTATGGTCAGAAAAAGAACATACGTGTCACACATAAACGGAAAACAACAAGACGAGCAACAAGGTGAAGTTTATAAAAAAAAATTCCCCCGACTATAGCTAGGCCACCTACCTCGACACACTAAAGATAAACAATCTACAAATACAAAAGATATAACAACCAAATGACTCAACATCACCAACGAACAAAATACAATATTTCCTACAACACATAACCGGTGCGTGCATAACGGTGCTGTAGCAACGACTAAAGTGTACAGACTACGATTTATTACATGTACTATACAGAATATTATACATACGTTTTATGTATTAGAAATTTGTCTTACCAGCATAGCAAAACCGTTGAATCGATGAAAACATTTATACAAACGTCACAATCTCAAACAAACGAGCAAATAATAAGTACACACTTGAAAATAAACGGAAAATAAGGGGTGTTTACATGAATCCGGAATGACTTTCAATCACGATGATTTCAATCACGTGATGTCAACCGTGTTTACATGAAACTAGTTGTTGTTTTTTTTTCGCACTCATTTTAACCCATTTAGCCTCTTTATTTGCTTACGAGCTTCAATTTGCCAGAAGACAATACCATGGCATGTGTGCTTCGTCATTAATCACAATATCATTCCAGAATGAAACTCAATTCGCGTTTACATGAGATAAAAGTAAATTTCGATCCGGAATGAAACTAGGAATGAACTCGATCGGATCGAGTTGTGACTCATTCCGGGTTCATGTAAACATGCAATAGGATTTCTTTTAAAGTGGAATGACTTCATTCCGGATCGAAACTCATTCCGGATTCATGTAAAAACCCCCATAGACAACAACCAGAACATCGGACACCCACATATTTCCTGTAAATACAATATTATGACCTTAAACCATACGAAAAAAACATGAAATACGGCGAAACCTGACGTTTATGAAATGATTATCGCTACATTTCGTTCAAGTTAAATCAGTTGTGCGACTGTGAAACCTTTCCTGTTAAAGTGCTACTGAAGTAAAATTTTCATATTTCGTTTTTCAATACAAACGTTTTCTCTGTATTATACTGATCATTTTGAGCTATCGCCCACTGAATTCAGTCGATGGGAACGCATCGAACTTTGCGTTCAAACATGGCATATTTGCTTGTTTTGATGCGAATTTGACTTTGAGTACGTGACGTCGTTTAAAGGACGGAAGTTCAATTTTAAAGCTCTTAGTATATAAAAATTATATACGAACAAGCATATTTCCAACTGGAATTTTACATATTTTATAACTTCTCTTAAAAAAATTGCGTATATTTAGTGACAAATGAGCAACACGCATGGTAAGCAACATTTACAATCGATTAGAGTTTTATAAACTTCTTGAATTAACTTATATTTCTCAATAAACTGGGTGCCGCATCCTTGACGAAGTCTGCGGTTTTAACACTCACGCAATGTTATCAGAAACTAACTGTAACGCGCTTATTTCCAATCATCCAGTGTATACTACTTTTATAAACTTCTGGATTAGACTTATCATTCTTATCATATGGGTGTCGCATCCTTGACGTAGTCTGTGGTTTTAAAACCCATGCAATATCACAACGCACATAATATAAGGAGAATAATTTTTTATTAAGTTAGTCAAACGTAACGATACACCGCAAGTTAAAATATGGCGAGTAGGCAAAATTCTGCAAAAAATTGTCGAGGAGGACAATATTGTGTTGCTGGTTGGCCCAAAGGAGAAAGTTGTACAAACAGTCAACACACAGAGGGTGTCTCAGTACATCGTTTCCCCATGAATGACAAGGAGAGGCTGAGTAAATGGACAAAATTTGTTAGGAGACATAGGCCAAAATTCGTTCCTCAGCAGTACTCTGTGCTATGTTCAATGCATTTCGCAGATTCTGCATTCACGGTGAACGCAACAGTTGCAAAATCGCTAAACATGAGACGACAATTGCGCTCTGATGCTGTTCCAACCATAGACTCTGTAAAAGGCATTTCAATCCAAGGTGATAAGAGCAATCGCGACCGTAGAGTTGTAAGTACAAAATTATACAAGTTAAATTACACAAGTTTGTATGCACAACCTGGAAATGCATGTAAATGTGTCTTATTATCTTCAACAGGTGTTGCGTGAAGTGACACGAAGTGTAAAAGATGTTGAACCCGCTGTTAAACATACTGATGATGAAGGGAATTCTGACGAGTGTAACACGACAGAATGTCTCGAAGGTTTTGATTAAACATTAAATGGTTGGCATCCAAAGATGACCCACTTTTCTTGGCTTGGTACATATTGCAGGTAACTTGTAATCACTGTTCTCTATCTGCCAAGGCTTTTTTACTTGTTCCTAGTCAAGAAAAAAAATTACATATTAAATGGTTTGTTCTGTTTAGGCACGTACTGGCAGTACTTCATTTCAATGAAAGCCTTCACAGACAGCCAAAAAAAACAAAAAATGGAACACCATATTATTCTGTGACATACCCAAAATTTAAATCAGGGGATGAAGTAGTAAGAACTGTTTCTTCAGCACCATCATATTGTAAGTTTAGCATGTATGCATTGGTACTCTTGACTTACACATCTAACCACTTGTCATTTCCAGACTATGTTAATGAAATCAAAATGTCATGGTTCTTAGTTGTGAGGAATCCATGGACAACATATTTAAGAAGTATAAAAAAGTCCCAGAAGCCTTAAACAAAACGTTCTCGGATCGAATTTCCAAAACTGAGGCAATCCAACGGCATTTGGATAGGAAACAACTATCTTCAACACCATTGTTTCCCACATGTAAGTTGTTCATGCTACCATGTATAATAGGTATGGCCAGTGCATTCTAAAAGTAAACACATTAAATTGTTATTTATAGATCAACAGCAAGATGTACTGCAAGCAAAAGGTTTAGACAAAGAAAAACAAGCTGCTTCAACAGGTCCTTCAGATCCAAAAACGCGCTTATGCAAAAATTGTGGACAGCCAATGAAAGGACATCCAAAAAGTCATTGTCCACAAGAATTACTTGACAAATATTCTTAGCAGGCCAACTTTAAAGTTAGTTATAAAATAATATACTATGCTACAAAAAATGTTTCCTACTTCTATCAGTTTCTTTCCTGTGCTGACTTGTAGCCAGCATGTTCTTGGCCTAGGGGATTTCGTAATGGAAATCGTTTTCGGATGTCTGTGTAGATACTTGCAGGTAATGGTCTAGAATTTTCCCAACCAAGGCATCCACACAGCCATCGAATGACCCAACGGTATGCAACTGCTCTCAAGTATCTATGAGAAATTCAAAATAGTAATTTCTATTTGATTATTTATTTTGACTTCACACAACAAAATTGTGAAGCATCACAGCACAATAATGAACCACATAAAGGTAAAAAGTAGAGATACATGGCAAGATATTAATCATTCGTTACAAAACAAAATTAGAAATCAAAAATGTACTAACTCATTTTCATGTATTCTACAACGCTTGTATGACCTTCCATCTTGGTCTCTTAGAAGTGAGCCAACATTCTTCAAGACTGTAGCATGTGTCATAATCGTGTACACTTCGTGAAGAGTAACACAGCTAATTTTTTCAATGCTACCATCGAATACCAGTTTATGTAAAGTAGGCCCAACCTCTTGACAACAACGGTATTCAATGGCATCTGTCAGCAGTTGAGTACGACACAAGCTACATGCACACCTATAAAAAAGTGGTTTGTTATCATATTTAACATTATCAATGTTTAAAATATGTCAAATTTTTTATTCCCGATTTTCTTTCATATTTTACCATTGTGTTTCTGCTTTTGTTTTTCAACTAATAAATTTCCTTTTTATTTCAGATATTGACGAATGCAATGCTTTCATCGATCAACAATGTACAGGAACTGGCCAAACCTGAGCTATTTTCCCTGGCGCTTTTTGTTGTAGCTGCAGTAATCCAGGCAACATTTGAACGAAGCAGGAACACTATGTGTCGGTACGAATTATAAAAATACTCATTACTTATTTTTTTTGGTTGAATTTTTGCTGAAAATATGAAAGCACTATTTATTTTTCCACAAAACAATTTACCAACCAAACAATATGTCACAGGTCGCAATATGGGAAACGGTTACGAACGCAACGAATTGAGACTCGTTTGAAGAGATACTGCTGTGTAGTTAAGGATTAATGTGTATATTCTAAACAACTTACATCGACCAAGTCAAAAAGAACATCATCTTTTATCCTTAATACAATAGTGATGCACTCGTTTTTGAACAATTAGCGATGTAAAAGATCAAAAAAGATGGCCAACATACAAAGACAATCAGTTTCATGCAGGAATAAAGCATTAAATTTATTCGTACCACTAAATAAATCTAAATCAACAGCTAAATCTCAACAGTCTTCTTGACTTCTACAAATCCAATTCCAATCCCGATAGGTTTTTTATAATTTTTGTTTTCTGTTTTTATATAAATGACCATTCAAGTATTTAAGGAGAAGAAAGCTTCATAATTGCTCATTATTTTTCCCTATGTAGAAACGGAAACTGCTATTCAAGGTCAGATTCGCATCATAAATAGGGTATTCATATCTGCCTACAATGACATTGGCAGCATTCAGTATTTTCAAATAACCAGAGTCATAATAAATCAGGTAAGACACGTTGATTTACAACATTACTTTTCATGCTTGTACTTTATGTAAATAAATTCAAGGTAGTTATTTTTATGAATTATGCGATTGGTTGATTTTCAGTCTTTTCAGGCAAGCAATTTTACATACCTTAGAACAACAAGGAGTAATTTATTTTTCAACTCTTTATTTTAGCTAATTTCGCTTTATCGGCAAACAACATCACTTCGTAATTTTGTGGAAATCAGAATCATCCGTTTATTGTAAGTGACTAATTAATTATTTTCAGTGAAGAATTTCAGAAAATCTGTTAAATATTTGTTTACTAAACAAAACAAAAAAATTCCTTCAAAAAGTTTCTTAGATTGTAACAAAAAACCCTATTTACCTGAATTTTGTTTGACAGCTTAAACGTGAGATTAACTTTTAATAGATGTAGATCTTCCAGGTAAGTAAAGTCCTGAGAAGAACTGTTGGTGTTGATTTTGACTAACGTTTTACGACTTTAGCGACAGTTATCTTTAGTGTCAAGTGCCGCTAAAGTTGTCGAAACGTCAGTCAACATCAACGCGAACAGTCCTTTTCAGAAATCTACTTATCTGCACGATCTACATGTACAAACATTTAATGCTTTTGTTGATATTTTCATAAAAAACAAACACGCATTCTTGAGGGAGATTTTTTATCTGGTTATTTCAATTCGCAGAACAACAATTACGCGTGCTATTATTTAATATTGTTTTTATCGAGCAAAGAAAAAATTGAAGGCTACGGGCAAACTCTATCAACCTGTTAAATCAACTTTCACTCAACAAAGTTTTTAAATGTGTGCAAATACTCTCAACATGTTGAGCATTATAATGATAACACGTAAATCTGCGACGCCTGTCAACTGCGTCGATACAGCTACATATACGGCTCAGTGACCAGCTAAAAATGAAAGCGCATGTTTAGGCAAAAGTTTGAGAGCGTTAGGACGACATAGTTTGAAATATTTTGTTTGCTCGATATAAACAGTATTAAAATTTTCATTTTAAAGGCAACAACAATTGCCCACGAGTAATTCTTGTTTTGCGATAATTGGGCTTCATTATTTAGTTCCATTTTATATTTTTACTCTAGCCCATCGTCCGTTGGAGTTGAATATGTTGTAGCTTTTAACAACACCCTGAACATCACTAATTCTGAAATTCAAGATGAGTTGGTGAACGCGTTGAATAAAACTGAAAATGGAACTTTTCTTGGCGACCTACAACTTAGCACTTCGATCAATACAACTGAATTAAAAAATTCAATAGAAATTAGAGGTAAATATTGTTTGGAGAAATACGTGATGTGTTTTTTTTTTAATTTTTAACACGGTTTTCATGTTACTGATGTTAGTTCCGTGCAATACAGCTCTCAATGAATGTCTCTTTTTCACATACAAAATCAATGCAAGTAATCATAATCTACAGATTACACACTGTCTTTCAATTCGATCATTTTTAGGACAAAGACTGTTAGTAATGGCTCATCATAAAACTGGCACGATTAAGCAATCAAACTATGCACGATTACTTTGTAATGGCGTTTTTTCTTCTCGTCGTGACAAAAAATACGAGAACATACCCGTGATATAAACGGTCATACGTATACCACGTGTCAATGAATTATGTAGATTTGAATAATTTGACGGTTGTGATGTATATGGTATAGTGTCAAGAAAGAAATATGGCAGTTGTGACATCAAGTGACATTTTGCGCCATTTCAGGACGTCATTGACGTCATCGTTTTAAAAGGCTCTATTTTTGACCATCCACATTAAAACAAAACGCATGCGTTTTCAAATCGCTTCGCTTTGGAGAGCGTTTACGAATCGATGCCTTTTCACTTGGCAGTGTATCCGTTTTTTAGCGTTTCAATGTGGACAGAAGGTCAAAAGGCATCAAAAAGTATGCGTTCTTAAACGAAAACGCATTAGTGTGGACAGGGTCATAAGCATAAGGGTGATATTAATGGTCATATAATATTTATATAAACTAGTTGGCCTCGTTAATTCACATGATTACATTTTTACAAAGGTGCGGGTAATATAATGGTGTCATGAACAGCATACGGCGTATATTGTTCAACGGTGGTGTTATGTATAAAAACATGGGTCTGAAATGCGTGGTTACATGGTCAAAATTGCTACATAGTTTCAATTCGGGCTCAATTTGTGCTTAAATGCCGATAAGCTGTTGCTATTTTAAAATGTGCTTGGCGAAATATTTGAAATTAAGTTGCTTTCATGTAATTAATTTACTGGTTATTTGATGTCAATATTTTTATTCTCATTTTTTCAGATTTTGATGAATGTAATCAAGAAAGATCTCCATGTCCAGAGAACTCAATCTGCATGAACATGGACAGGACATTCGATTGTATTTGCAATTCTGGTTTCGTCAAGAATGGGAGCAACCTTTGCGGTGAGTGTTTCTGGGTTTTATTTTCTAATTTTGATGAAATACTTTTATGAAAAAGCCAGCACCATGGACCAGCACCATAAGCTAAAACCGATGATTTCGTAAGCTAAAACCGATGATTTCGTAAGCTAAAACCGATGATTTCGTAAGCTAAAACCGATGATTTCGCAAGCTAAAACCGATGATTTTGTAAGCTAAAACCGATGATTTCGTAAGCTAAAACCGATGATTTCGTAAGCTAAAACCGACGATTTCGTAAGCTAAACCAGAAGATTTCGTAAGCTAAAACAAATGATTTCGTTTAGGAATCACATAAAACCTACAGCTGCTGCTACTAAAGTGGCTTTTGTAAATTAAATTTGTTAAATCCGCCTGTGTTGAATCTATTCTATTGTTTAGAGAGAATATATATGCTCTAATGAGTAATTTACCTCCATTATTGTATTTTCACTCATTTTTTTAAAATTAATTTCTAGTGCCAAGGAAGAGGAATGCAGGTATTTTGATTGAATACATTATTTTTTTTCTATCTTTAGAAAATAATCATGAAAATAATGGCTATTTTAACTTTAATATGACAACTTTGTTTCATTAAGTTTGCTCTCATGTGAAGATGCCTCAGTAGTTTAAAATCAAAAGCTTATTCTTACATAAATATGTTCTTATAGTTGATGAAGACGATGTAGAAGATGTAGACGCAGCGCTAATTGCAATTATAGTTTGGCTTTCAATATGTTTCCTAGTCGCCATTGTCTTGATTATTCGTGCACTAATAAGGTACATCATTTATGGAACATTGTGCATCTACTTCTATATCTTTATAAATGTCTTGATGATTAAATATAACAGCATGACAAAAAGCACAAAATTCTTAACTATTCTTGCCCAAAGACATACTAGTATTTTTCTTTTTAGAGAACAAGCAATGAAATGTATTTACATAATGAAATATATATCTTATTTTGTCATAAATTTCTGTGTGATTGAACTTTTATGTGACGTCTATGCAATGATTTGAGTTATGGCTGCTTCAATTTTATCATCAGTACTTTGGCTTAAAAATATCCAAACTTTTAATTTCAATAATGCTAATCACTCACGTGTATTCCCAAAGCAAACCAAATTCTAACAATATTCTTAATTTAGTTTCAGAAACAGCCGTAATGGAAATTCTGGTGATGAAAGTTATGGTACTTGGGGATCTTTTAATGGCTGAGGATACGACTGCTTGTGATGCCATCAATACCTGTCATGCAATAATATAATCAATCAAAGCACTGGATATGTAAACCTCTAGTAGTAGTAATGGTTCTTATTAAAAATCGTGGCTACTTACAAAAAACCTCATCAATCAGTTCGTTCTAATATATTACTTTCCAAGTATTATACATTCATTAATAAATGATTTTGTTGCGCATGTAAGCTGTCCATGTAAGCGTGAAACATTTGACTGAATTTAAATTTAAAGCTGTTGCTGGTACGTAGCACTTTTATAGAAATTTTTGGGATCATTTTTAAAGGTTTAGCATGCACTGATTGTGGTCCCGTGTTGTCTGAAAAATTTTCAAGTCTGCTCTTTCCGCAGATAAAACTGCTTAGGGATGAGAGTTGAGAGTTGTGGAACTCTAGTTGTTACTGAGAGTGGAGATAGTTTATCACCAAGGAAGGCTCTCTGTTGATACCACCGTTATATTGGGCATGATTGTATGCTTTATTTTTTACAAATCAACAAAAGGGGGATTGTTGCGTTTCCCGTAATCTGATTGGCAGCAGAAGTGCACGGGTGGAATTTTACGATATCTGACCAAAGGGTTCATTTGTTTCGTTTGCTTTTCATTTTACCAAGGAAAGTACAGCATTTGCAGATCAATTAAGTAGAAAATGAAAATCATTGAAATGAAGGCAATTCAAATGACGCGTTAAGTCAATAGGCTACTTAAATACAACTGAAGCAATAGATGGTTTACGAGTTCATTTTCTTCTTTATGAAATGAAAGGAAACAATTCTCTTGAAAATAGTCCTCTCAAGATTTAAAATGCATAAATGAATTTTGAGGAGTGGTGCAGAGAGGCGCATTTCCTACAAAATACTTCATACATACTAAACAATTAAGTAAAAATCATATATTCATTGGTGTTTATGGAGCGGACTTCCGACAATCTCCCCACCATGATTAAAACAAAACTTTAGCTAGCACCTCAATTCGTTGATGCAGCATGAGTAGTACATACTTAACCATACCATACTTGATATTTCATCCAGAATATATTTCAACTTGTTAGGCATACCATTCATGCTGTGATAATTAACTTTCCTGCAGATCAGTACCATAATTCGCCTTTTAAAGCTAGTACTCGGCAACGCTTGCTGGTCGTCATGTTCAGTGGGAGCGGCGTTTTTTGAAGAATCAATGGCTGATAATGCTGGTCAATTACTGCTACGTAGTCCAAGTTCTCTGGTGAATGTTCTGATTTACCTTCATCGTCTTTATTTTGTGTCGGGCTTTGGGAGAGGAACGTCCTGTTTATGAATGATTTCATAACGCTCTTCATCACTAAAATTTGAAGTAATTTTGCCGATGACATCGCCTGGCTCTTCGTATATTTGATCTCCATTGTCATGCTCAACTTTTGCCTCAAGCTCAACTACCTGATGTTGTTCCTTTTCTAGAAAAGAGTTTGTTAGGAGTTTAACAAAGACATGCAGTCCATCGAAAAAAGACATTATGCAAAATACAAAGAATTATTAAGAAATCTATGTATAATTTTCTGAACAAGTATTCAAACCCCAAATATCGTAAAAAATATTCAAAAATGAACCAAAAGGCTAAATTAACATATGATACAAATCATTCAACCCTTATATTAAAAAAAATTATTACTTTATACCAGGGGTCTCCAAACTACGGCCCGCGGCCCAGATGTGGCCCCTTAGGCCTCTCAATCCGGCCCGCAGAGACACTTAAGAAAAAAAAATAATAATATTATTAAACAAAATAAACTTTGTGCAGAAAGTTCGCGTTATGACGCAAGCCAACTCGCAAGAGTTTTATTAAATATTCGCTCTTTGACCAGCGGTATACGGTTCGTCATCCCTCAACATGCTCAATGAAAGTTCATGTAAAGTTTGGAGACCCCTGCTTTATACTAAAGCTTTAAACACTTTCGCGTATACGACAAACGGATTCCTTGTAAGAATTACGTTGTAAAAAAATGAATATCGTATTTTGTTTCAATTTACAAAAACAAACAACAAGAAAAATGATGACAAAAACACGACACAATCATTAACCTAAATTAACCAATGGTAAAAACTTTTTGATCCCTTCAAAATATAATTATACAATTTATACTGACAATTCTTTGTTTTAACACTTTATCCTGTAAACATAACCTTTTATAAGAATTTTAAGATAACAAAATGAGTAGCTTACTTTTTTTTGATTTACAGAAGCAAGCAACGGCAACGGCAACAACAACAACAATAATAACAAAAACAACAACAGCAGATATTCCAGCTGCAACACCTATGATTGTTGACTCAACAGATGAAGACTTTGGTGAAGTTGGTAAATCTAGAGAAAATAATGAAGTCATCATTGTATTGTCTTTATTAAACTTTCACTATTACAAAGGGTTTGTTCACTTAAAATGCTTCAAAAAAAAATTAAAATTTCCTCCCACTGCTTTCTGACAAAACAAATAAATTTGCTGCACTATAACTTTGTTTCATATGCTTATTTCAAAACATATATAGTTTTAGTTTATAGAAAATGCGCGTGAACTACAAATTTGACAATTTCTCTTAATGTAATAAAATATATAAATATTATTAGTCGATGACATTATTGTAGTGATGTTATCGATGACATTGCTGCGACAAAAAAATCTTCTTGGACGCGCACAGTGGACTTCATTTATCAAAATAAAGTAGATTAATGAACATCACTTAAATAACCTTTTACACTAAATATTTTTACATTAAACATATTCGAGATTTGATAGTAAGTTTTAGCCTCACAGTTCGGTCATATCACCCTGTAAGTATCAAACCTTTTTCAACATTTGCCGCATGATTGTGAAATTTCAACGCCGGGGTTGAGTTCAGCACCGGGGTTGAAAAGCTGTCGTGTAATAGCGCATTGTATTTGATTAAGATTTATAGAGCAAGCAGGGCTGAAATTTCAGCCCACTTAACAGGGCTGAGTTCAACCCGTGGTTGAAAATGCTTCATGTAATCAGGCCCTTAAAGTAATTTTTAGATACCAACTATAAAATCTTACTTGACACGAGTCCATTTCCAGTGTATCCATCGTTACATTGACATTCATAAGAACCTTCCTTATCAGTGCAGCTTGCATGACATCACAAGGAACATTCAAACATTCATTGATATCTTAAACAAAAACAAACATTTGTTAGGCAAGTTAAAACTATTGCTACATCAACGGTATGTATGTCTTACTCGTGCAAGAGATCCCATTTCCAGTGTATCCATCGTTACATTGACATTCATAAGAACCTTCCTTATCAGTGCAGCTTGCATTGACATCACAAGAACATTCAAACATTCATTGATATCTTAAACAAAAAACAAACCATTTGTTAGGCAAGTTAAAACTATTGCTACATCAACGGTATGTGTGTCTTACTCGTGCAAGAGATCCCATTTCCAGTGTATCCTTCGTTACATTGACATTCAAAAGATTCTTTAGTGTCAGTACAGTTAGCATTGACATGACAAGGGTCGGACAAGCATTCATTAATATCTTCAATAAAAGATCAAAATTAAATAAAAATTACTAATTTGTTGCTTTATCAAAAGCCACCGCTTCGTATTTGTACAACACAACGTTGATTACATAACAAAAAGGACCTAAATTATAAATTATGCTTCCTCATTATTATTCCTTTGACATAGTTTACTAGCCTGGTTTAATTTGAAGACTTAATCAGTTACTTGTTACATAAATTAATTTGTACAAATCCTCATATATATACAAAATATTGCATCTCCGGAATAACCTTTACAACATATACATATAAAAGACCTTGTTTAATACGATGATACAAGGATTTGACAAAAAATTCATTGATAAGATTGGTGAATAGCCTAAAGAAAAGTATAAGTCCTTCTGTCAACCACAGTTATGTACATGAAGCGATACAAGGTATAGCATGAGTTGAACTTAAATATATCATCTTTAAGATGTAATTGTACTATACAATTAAATTGATAAAGTTATGCTTTTACTGTTCATTGCTGATGCTAAAATGTGCATAGATTACACGATATTTTTATTCATGTATGATCGTGGCCATACATCTTTCATTGATGGGATGAAAATTATGTAGAAATCTTTTACATGATCACGTACACCAAATCATCTCTTACAATATTTTGACAAGCTCACTTTCATTAATGCGTCAGGAAAAGAAAATTTTAAGTAGGGTTTTCAGAAAACTACAAAATTTTTAGAGATGATATAATATAAATTGAAATCCATTAATTAGCATTGTCATAAATGTTATGTCATAAATGTTATGTATAAATGTTATGTCATAAATGTTATGTCATAAATGTTATGTCATAAATGTTATGTCATAAATGTTATGTCATAAATGTTATGTCATAAATGTTATGTCATAAATGAACTTCCTTGTGCCTGAAGCTGTTAGCATGTTAGTATGCGTCTACTTATATCAGTTTCCACTGGAGGAAGAAAAAATTATGAAATTCTCTAAAATTTTAAATGTGTAATTCTACATAATGCTATTAGTGAAAAAATTTAGAAAAAGTACAAAACATTGATGATTTCATTGCTTACATTTTATCCTCATACGTTGACAAATGAAATGGTGTGATCTTTTGCATGGTTCATCATTCCAAAAGCCATAGTAGATCCTATATTGCACACAATTTTCGTTACCACGATAGTTATTTGGTTCTTCAGGACCCCAATTTATAAAAGTAGGTGTTACATTATGGACTGTATAAAATTTATTGTCGCTTTATTGCTACAAACCAATAAAAGGTTTTGATTTGTTTTGCTGGACTTCATCAAAATAGCGTCATTTTCAGCTTTATTTTTGGAACAGCAAGATCTCCCTTCTGTCGACAAATTCTTCTGGCTTCATGCCATGTTTCTGGTTTTGTACTGAAGAAATAACAAGATGATCGAAGCTTCACCCAGTCACGTGGACAACTACTCCCATTGTTAGCTAAGGAGAACAGAAAGCCGGATACAACGACTCGATTAATAATATAGTCATACAATGCTCAATGAAACAAATTGCTATACGTCAATACGTTGTATATTTTTTAAATTTATCGTTGAATGTATTAATGTTTATCTCAACCTTGTTACATAAGGCATCTGTACTGACATCGAATGTTTTATGAATGTCGATGAAGCAAAAGATATACTGGAGATGGAGTTTCTTGTAAAGTCAGATTTTTATATTTCGTATCGACATAATAATTTATTTTATTAAATATAATTTCATTACTTACATTTTATCCTCAATATCTTACCTTGACAAATGAAATGGTGTGATCTACTGCATGGTTCATCATTCCAACGGCCATAGTATATTTTATATTTCACACAATCCTCATTGCCACCTTCGTTGTTTGGTTCTTCAGGACCCCAATTTATAAAAGTAGGTTTTAGATTATGAACTGTATAAAATTTATTGTCGCTTTTATTGCGCAACAAACCAATAAAAGGATATTTGATTCTTTTTTGCTGGACTTCATCAAAAATAGCGTCATTTTCAGCTTTATTTTTTGGAACAGCAAGAAATCCTCCTTTCTTTTGACAATTTTTTCTTGCTTTTCGCCAAGTTGTTTTTGTCCAACTGAAGAAATAGCAAGATGACCATATCTCCATCCAGCCACGTGGGCATCCTCTGACTTTGTTTTGTAAAGCAAACAAGAAACCGTATGCAGTGAATTAATGCGTCAGGAAGAGAAAGTTTAAGTGGGGTTTTCAGCTAACACCAAAAACTGCTTTGGTGCGAGTAAATAAAAATTGAAATCTATTAATTAGCATTTTTAAAGTTGTTTGCAGTCACGTCATTTTAATGACAATTTTCGACCTAAAACTGCTCGGATGTTAGCTAACATTAATTTTTGCGGTGAAGAAACAAGAAAAATTATAAAAATCTCTAAAATTCAAAATGTGTTTGTTTTACGTGATGCTTTCAGAGTAGACAGAATCGCAAAAAGTTTAGAAAACGTAAAAACATTGATAATTTCAGTACTTACATTGACAAATATAATTGTTTTCTGTTGTGCATGAAATGTCATTCCACTTGCGTTCCTCAGAGAATTCAACACAATCCTCACTGCCACCTGCGTCGTTAGGTTCATCAAGACCCCAATTTATGAAAGTAGGTGCTACATTATGGACTGTATAAAATTTATCGTCGCTTTTATTGCGCAACAAACCAATAAAAGCATTTTGATTTTTTTTTGCCGGACTTCATCAAAAATAGCGTCATTTTCAGCTTTATTTTTTGGAACAGCAAGATCTCCCCCTTTTTCTTGACAATTTTTTCTTGCTTTTCGCCAAGTTTTTTTTGTTCCACTGAAGAAATAGCAAGATGACTGTATGTCCATCCAGCCACGTGGACATCCTCTGACTTTGTTTTGTAAAGCAAACAAGAAACCGTATGCAGTGAAGTAATGCGTCAGGAAGAGAAAATTTTAGTGTAGTTTTTAGCTAACACCAAAGACTGCTTTGGTGCGAGTAAATAAAAATTGAAATCTATTAATTAGCATTTTTAAAGTTGTTTGCAGTCACGTCATTTTAATGACAATTTTCGACCTAAAACTGCTCGGATGTTAGCTAACATTAATTTTGCGGTGAAGAAACAAGAAAAATTATAAAATCTCTAAAATTCAAAATGTGTTTGTTTTACGTGATGCTTTCAGAGTAGACAGAATCGCAAAAAGATTAGAAAACGTAAAAATATTGATTATTTCATTACTTACATTTTTCACAAATATAATTGTTTTCTGTTGTGCATGAAATGTCATTCCACTTGCGTTGCTTAGAGAATTCAACACAATCTTCGTTACCAAGATAGTCATTTGGTTCTCCAGAATTCCAATTTGTGAAAGTAGGTGCTACATTATGGACTGTATAAAATTTATTGTCGTTTTTATTGCGAAACAAACCAATGAAAGGATATGTAAGTTTTCTTCTATGTGAAAATTCGTAAATGGCGTCATTTTCAGCTTTATTTTTTGGAACAGCAAGATCTCCACCCTTCTGTTGACAAATTGTTCTGGCTTCATGCCAGGTTTCTTGCGTTGTACTGACGAAATAGCAAGATGACTGTAGCTCCATCCAGCCTGAGGGACAACTACTGACTTTGCTAACTAAGACGAACAAGAAACCAACTACATCAACAACATGGAGTTTGTAGCAGAGCTTGACAGTCCCCCCCCTTTCTTCAAAATATTTTACTTTGTAAAGTGTAAAAGTATAAAAATCCACTTTAACAAATACTTATATTTGATAAGAATGGATGTTTATCACTATTTCTAGTCTCACTTATGTTCCACTTTCATTTATTACTTGACGTTAGATTGATCAATTATAGAGGCGTTCAGACTGAGTGCTGGAGTACGATACCCTGGTTCGGACAAAAATCTGCAGGCCGTTCACACTACGTAGTACTCACTAGCTTCGTCTATTTATAATTTCATGTTTTTCTTTGTAAACAAGCTTTGAAACCATGTGCTGAATACGTACCTCTCTGTACACGTTACTTAGGTGTCGTCGTTAACATTGGTGCCCGTGCCCGAGCACCGTACTTGGGTACTACCTCTTTTCCTGTTGACAGACCTGGCCACTTATACACGGCCACCATCAAAATGTTGTGCTCACGTTGGTACCCGTGCCTGAGCACCGTACTTGGGTACTACCTCTTTTCGTGGTGCTTAGACCTGGCCACTTATACACGGGCACCATCAAAATGTTGTGCTCACATTGGTGTCCGTGCCTGAGTACCGACTCAGGGGACTCAGTCTGAACGCACTATAATAAACTTTACAAACGAAATAAAACAAACTTTGTATGTTGAATGATTACTGATAACTGTTAAAAAGCAGCTTTGCTATACTGGGACCAACAATCCGATTCTGTAATCTTCCCCCCTCCCCCATTTTCTAACCTCTCCTTGGCCCCTGCATGATGATATCTGCATTATTAAGTAGAATATTTCATAAATTCATACCTTGTAAATTGAACACGGGCATCATCAGAAGAAATGTCAAGCGAAACATTTTCAAGCCACGATGATTTTCAATGATACAGTTTGAAATCTGTCCACAATATCAAACATATTACATAATTACACGCGGAACAGCAACGGACTCACCCTTCCCTGGCAGTAGCTGAAATTGTCATGCAAGCCCCACCATATATACCTATATCAATACCACCTTTTTGTTTCGGTATACGTAAATGACATAATCACAGAACTCATGTAGACATGATTGTTTCTTTCTCGCTCACGGCAAACAGAACAGCCACATATACAATTTACCAAAGACGTCGAGGGAAACTGAGCTCCTTCTTACAAACTACAAAACACACTCCACCAGAACCAACACATGTGGACCTAATACTCGACTAATCATCTAACAAATCTACATCATACAAAGCTACCATATTGAACATTAACGAGACGAGCACAACACCTTTGAACGAAATCATCGAACGATTTTCACCACGAAAATAAATGAAACAAACACAAAGAATGACACCATAAACACAGCATTCGGAAACATTAGCAGTCAACAAACAGAATTGGACCATTAATCAAATGACAAGGAAAGCAACGATAACATACGTCCAAGTTAGGTGAACTATGTCTGAGAGAATCTCGCGTATATATTATGGTCATAAAAGAACATACGTGTCACATAAACCGAAAACAACCAGACGAGCAACAAGGCGAAGTTTACAAAAATACCCTCGACTATAGCTAGGCCACCTACCTCGACACACTAAAGATAAACAACCAGACGAGCAACAAGGCGAAGTTTACAAAAAAATACCCTCGACTATAGCTAGGCCAACTACCTCGACACACTAAAGATAAACAACCAGACGAGCAACAAGGCGAAGTTTACAAAAAAAAAAATACCCTCGACTGTAGATAGGCCACCTACCTCGACACACTAAAGATAAACAACCAAACAAGCAACAAGGCGAAGTTTACAAAAAAAAAAATACCCTTGACTGTAGATAGGCCACCTACCTCGACACACTAAAGATAAACAATCACAAATACAAAAGATATAACAACCAAAAGGCTTAACATCACCAACGAACAAATATAATATTTACACATACCGATGCTGTAGCAACGACTAAAGTGTACAGAATACGATTTATTATATGTACTATACAGAATATTATACATACGTTTTATGTATTAGAAATTTGTCTTACCAACACAGCAAAACCGTTGAACCGATCAAAACATTTATACAAACGGCACAATCTCAAACAAACGAGTAAAATAATAAGCACACACTTGAAAATAAACGGAAAATAGACAACAACCAGAACATCGGACACCCACATATTTCTTGTACATACAATATTTTGACTTTAAACAATACGAAAGAAACATGAAATACGGCGAAACCTGACGTTTATGAAATGATTATCGCTAGATTTCGTTCAAGTTAAATCAGTTGTGCGAACTGTGTAACTTTTCCTGTTAAAACACAAGTTACTCAAATTTCAAATCAGTCATAAAAGTTGAATCACCATCGCATGCCACTTTTATGATATAAAATTACGATAAAGCAAGTTTTATAATTTAAAATTGTGATAAAGCATTTTACTTATGAAGCTGCAGCTACACTATAAGTTTAACTATATAATAAACATGACTGAATTAATCAGTTGTGTTTTATATCATTATGACACGGATTATGATTGATATACAACAGTAAATACTTCTTACTGCAGCAATATTT